CTTTCGATTTTCCTGAAAATTTTTTCTTCCCGAGTTTCATTCGGTCAAGGATGTACCTTCGATTTTCCTGAAAAGGTTTCTCTCCTGAGTTGTCACTCGGCCAAAGATGTACCTTCGACTTTCTTGAAAGAGTTTCCCTCCCGAGTCGTCACTCGGCCAAGGATGTACCTTCAGTTTTCCTGAAAAGGTTTCCCTTCTGAGTCGTCACTCGGCCAAAGATATACCTTCAGCTTTTCTGAAAAGGCTTGTCCTACCGAGTTGTCACTCAGTTCGGTGTGCGGTTACCATTAAAAGACTCCTTCGACAACCTAAACCCATTCGGCACCCTCGGCAGCCTAAACCTGTTCGGCACCTTCGGCAGCCTAAACCTTTTCAGCACCTTCGGCAGCCTAAACCCGTTCGACACTCTGTAGCAGCCTAAACCTATTCAGCACATTCGGCAACCTGAACCCATTCGGCACCCTCGGTAGCCTGAACCCGTTCGAAACCTTTGGTAGCCTAAACCTGTTCGACACCCTCGGCAGCCTCAACCCGTTCGACACCTTCGATAGCCTGAACTTGTACGGAACCCTCTACAGTTTTACCCCTTTGACACCTTTGGTAGCCTAAACCCGTTCGACACCCTTGGCAGCCTAAACCTTTTTAGCCTTCAGATTACGAAAAGATTACGAGTTACCTCCCAGACAAGTATTACCCTCTACGTCGCTTCGCTCCTCAAGGCTGGGGGGCTTGTGTACTAGGAGGATCACATCGGTCACGTGAAAGGGCACATGACACACCCTCTCAGCCATCGAGATGGTCGAGACAAAGGTGTTTTCCAAAGTACAGTAGTCTCGGGCATGTCGGCCATCGAGACGGCCGAGATGCAAGGACTTCTACATCACATGGTTTAGCATAGGCTCTCGGACGCGTCGGCGGCCGAGATGGTCAACCCTACAACGCCCCTTGCGCCCAAAACGTCGAAGTCCCGACCCTTTTCCTCTCAGCTCGGCCAACGACCGAGATGACTAAATACTGTGGTTAGAACAATGATCACGATTAACAAGGACAAACACACGATTAAGGCATAATTGATCATTTAGCACTGTATTACCTAATTTGACAAATGTTAGAAGAGGCCCACCATACTCAGGGCCCATTGCAACCAGTATAAATAAGTCACGTAAAATGAGGTATGTCACTGTTCATTAATTGCTATTAATATTCGTGTTTGTCCTGACTTAAGCATCGGAGTGCCTTTTGCAGGTACCCTCCCCCTCGCCGGAATATTCGCTTGGAACTCTTGTTCGACCTTCAGAATACGAGAAGATTACTAGTGTACCCTTCAGACAGGTACATAATATATAATATTTATATATTATTATTGTAAGAATAACATAGGAAATATGAAGGGAGTTTGTGAAATAGTAATTAAATAAAAGAAAATCTTTCCTTCTTTTATGAATAGTTGGTAAAAATGTCAGTAAATATGACTTGTAATAATATGTATGAGTAGTAAATATGACTTGTAATAATATGTATGAGTAGTAAATAAACTTATCCTTTATGTATTTCTAATTACTTTGGGTATTATAAGTTGTATAATAATTTATTTAATTTTCTTTGATTCATTTTAATAAATAAATAATTATAAGTCATATTTTAAATGGGTGTTACAATCTGTGTTAACTATTTTTGATAATATTAATTTAATTTAATTAATCACAGAAATTTGGTTTGACTCCGAAAGTGTATCGTAATAAAATTTTATCATGTGCTTGCATGAATAATGCGTATATGTACATGGACTTGTTTGTAAACATCGTGCTCAACAAATTAAGTAGAAGCATTCTGTATATTTCCAAAATTAATTTGAAGCAGAAACTAAAAAGACTTGTAATTAAGAATTGATATACTAATGTTGTTGAAACAATTCACAATATGTTTTAAATTTGAATTTGTGGATAGTAATTGTTATACGAAAATGGAGATAGAAACTAAATAATTGGCTTGATCTGATGAAAATGGAGATAGAAACTAAATAATTGGCTTGATCTGATGGTAATATATATATATATATATATATATATATATATACTCTCT